GAGAATGCCATACATAGCCCTTAAGCTTAGATATAAGCATTAAAAATACTCTTGAAAATTGTTTAAATTTAGAAAATCATGACAAATTCACACTAATTACACTGATCTAAGCGTGTTTTTGTCATGAATTCCTAATTTTATACTATTTCCAAGAGTGTTTTTAATGCTTATATGTATAGCATTACCCAAAAATTAAATAGAATATTCCCTCAAAAAAAAAATCAAATAGAATAGATTTAGAATTTATCGGACAAATAAAAAAAGCTTTTTACCACACATTTTTAAATAATTTGGGTATTAAAATAGCGTGATTCAACCTTACCCAATCCAATTTCGGTGCATTTATTGTGGGGTTACTTATACAAGTTACTTATTCAGGGGTTACCAATTTAAGAGTTACTTATAAAAGTTACTCAATCGATAAGGTGTTACTTATAAGGGGTTAAGTCTAGCACAATCTATCCCAAATTCCCAACCCAAAATAAGTAACCCCACCACGTTTTCATGGGTAGGTACTTTAAAGCACAATCTATCCCAAATTCCCAACCCAACACATGATCATCACCTCTACATAAAATCTTCTATTTTCTTCAAATTCCTTAATTGGATTTCTTTTCCATTCTAATTCTTTCCAACAATTATCAAAAACCAAACAAACTAAAGACCAATGAATAGAGGACATATGTTTCAACTTGTTTCCAACAGTGTTTACAAAATAAAATCATATCTTGATCAAACTAAAGACCAATGTCTACAGCTTTTATTTTCATTCATTCATGTTTCAAATCAAATTAATGATCAATAAAAATTAAGAAATAACCATTTTATTATCCAACTCTTTTTAGGCTCACCACAAAATTTTCTTATGCCTTTACAGGGCATTTGCTTCGCCAACATTATATAATATTCCAAAATGAACTAGAACAAATATTAGTTACTAATCTAAAACCCCTAAAATAAAACTATAGGGCTAAACAAAATAATGTGAAGATGTTAGTTTATTGGAAGCTTCAAAGAGAAACTATAGATGAGACCAAGATAAACAGTTTGATTAAGTAAATATGTAGAAGCTATTACATGCTTAAATCATTAACTAGGTTAAACTTGATATGTCAACCCATTAAACCATGAAAGACGACCCATTTAAACTGATTATTATATCAGCTTTTATCATCTAACACTAGTAGATGTATGTAATCTCAAGTGCACCTAATAACTTGTGGCTTATTTAAGTCAGGCATAATTAATACTCAGATACATCCGAAAACCAGTGACCAAAAAAGCCTGGGAAAAGATCAATAACAACCGAATATAAAAGGTTAAAAGAAAGAGACTAGATTGTTCAGGCCCCCCATAGTAGTGATAAAATTCCATTCAAAGACTAATAAAATTTGAAGAAGACAAGAAGAAAGAACATACTTTAAATAGTCGTTACCAGGTTGTTTTCTACCAGCGGCAGCCTGTATGGCGTTGCTTAGCTGCTGCTATATCCTCAATTAAGTATGTGCTATCCTGTGGGAACACAGGTCTCTCTCATAGACGAATCTGTACTATCCTCTGGGAAAAGTAATAGAATTTTCGATAATTATCATCGCTTCAATAATATACTTGAAAAGACAAGGCAAGAAAGCAAGAAAGAAAAACCAACTGCCAAAATCCAACAATAGTCACCAAAGCATAAATAGTAGCCAAACTCACAACGTAGACTGAATTAGTCTGCCTCATTGCTCAAATCATGTAAAATAAAGCAGCAGCACCCTACCTTACATAAGAAATGGTGCAAAAATAAATGAGAGCTAGATGTTTCTATATGGACGGAAAAGAACATTGAGGTCAATAGGTCATAATAGCATGTGTATGACTATCAGCATATGCCTAACTGAAAAACTTTGTAGAGAAACTGTATTAGGACGCTTTACTATTTCCCACCCTCCATGAACGGTTAAATCGGGTGCTTTTATTCTGAAATAGCCCTACATTAAATCAATAATGCCCAATCCTGAAGATAATCATTACTGGTGAACTTGAACTTAAAAACTAATCTGTTTGTATTAGCCTTGACCCTTATCAAAAGCCAACCAAATAGAAAAGTGACATTACATGAATGAATGGACATAGACAAGCAACGTAAGCTTGATAGTACCATATTGTACTAATCAACAAACCTTAAGGAACAAACAACAAAGCACACTATAACCCCACTTGATTATTAGAAAACAACCAATCACAAGTTTTTCTTCTATGCATTAGCTAAGATGACAATAATGTAATCAACAAATCCATATTCTAACAAAGGTTTGAATTTGGATAATGTGGTTTTAATATTCTTCACCCTTTGTCTGATACAATAGTTCTCTGTTACAAAAACAATTAAGCAGCATTTTGGACACAAAGTTTAACACAAAGGCAGCTGAATTTGGTAAGATGCTGTACAATCCCAGCAACTCCATCTCAGGATCAAGTCTCTTAGGTGGGGGGAAGGAAAGCAAATTAATCCAAGGAAGATAAACAAAACATTTGAATCTCGTATTTCTGGTACTACATTCAACATATCTGGCTGTACTTTAAAGGTTTGTTGTAAATTCGTAATACCTTAGATAGTTATAATGGCTTAAACAAACGAACATAAACCTTAAAAGTTAGAAGAACATAATAGTTAAAACGAATAAACATGAACCCCAAAAGCAACAAAGAACATGTCTATTCTCCACATCCAAATCCAAAGAACATGTAGTTCAAGTCCAAGACACATGTTTATTTTTTATTCAAAAACAAAAGAGCACATGTCGCATTGGAAAGGGCATAAATTAACAAAACATATAGCTCAAAACCAAAGAACATATGTTGTTAATTTTATTGGGTGCACCATGAGCACTATACATCTGTGTAGTGCCAATCAATTTGCCTTTTGATATACCTATTCTATTAAACCTCAACAGCTTAATCTAACTACCTAAGAAGGACATGATACACAATTCTATGATAATACTGATACTGTCAAATGCAAGTAATTTCTTTGCTCCATGATGATATTAAGTCTACTCTAAAGTATGGGTCTTGAGGTTATAAAATTAATGACATACTAATTCTGTGTGGCCCGCAATTTATAAAATTGTTACATGAAGATAACTATCACCAAACCCCTTATGGCAAATAATTAACTTGGGAAATGTGCCCAAATTGCGCAAGTGAACCAAAAATACAAGAAGCTGCCATAAAAGTGCAAGTGAACCAAAACGCAGTAATATGCCATAATAGTAGGTCCATCATGTTCGACATAGCTAGGTAACAAAGGCATCACAATATCTGACGCCCTGGAGTGGGCTCTAGCAGTCAGGTAAAATCCAGGTGGACTGGTGGAGTGACAAAGTATACCATATGAAGCATTTCGTGCTGATAAACTATTTCCCAAACGTGAAGTAAATTAAGAAAGACAGTCATCACATTATTATGCTGCAAGTTTGTCTAAGTAATCAATTCCACAAATCCACATGCATAGTTTTTGAAGACTATCAAGGATGTTAAAGGTTCTTAATTTTAACCTGGGACATAAACAAGTCTAGGGATAGAAATAATTATATAATATGAATCAACTATGATCAGATGTTGCTTAAGCTGTTGTTGTCACCAAAAGAGATCCTACAGGAATAATTAAAATAAAATAAATCTTAGGGATAGAAATAATTAAAACTCGTGATTAATACGTTCAGCTGAACTTATTGATCACACAGGTTTTTTAACAAATTGAATAGAAAAGGAGAAATTACAAGGTGATACTCTCTTTTGGTCAAAATAACAAGTCATATTTGACTTTTATGGTTACATTATATCCACTTTGACTTCTGTTTATCAATATAGTAAAAGTCATACGAAGTAAAAGATAATTAGAAAGAACTTTTTCATATTAATCTACTCATAATTCAAGAATATTCTAGGAGATTAATAGTCTAAGTAAGCAAGTTTTGACCTCTACAACACTAATGCATGGTGGATCATTCAACACAGCACTTTGTAAGAAGGGGAGGAAATGACATAGCATGACTGCCTCCACTCTTTTTTACTCTGATAAAAATGGCTTGTCTTCAGTCTAGAAATAAACAACCTTCTCTCTCCCTATGACCCTACTCTCGGTCAGTCCACGACAAGGGAAAAAGGTTCGTAAAGAGTGCAAAGACTACCAAGCACTCTACCAAGGATCCTGATTCATGAGTCTCTCGGTTATGGCAAGAAATATATATATTAAAAAAAATGATATAGCCATTTCTATCGACTCCCTTTTATATTTAAAAAAAATGGTGGACAACCAATTATTTTTAAAGAGGAGACTTATGACAATCATAGTTAGTTGGATCACGTTCAGTTGGGGTGAGTCATTCAGTTTAGGTCAATCTATTTAAGATGAAATTCAATCGGTAAGATACAGGTAGGAATGGAAAAGGTTAATCTTCTTTGTCAAGTACAAGACACACTAGAGATATTCACTTGCAATGGACAATTGAAAAAAGGCAAGCTTCTTATAGTGCACTGTTTTTATGGTACTACAAATTTGAAGGACTCATGATGTTTAGTATGGAGGATAATAAGTTAGCTATTCAAAAAAGCATGTTTCTTATCTTAAAAAAAAAAAAAAAAAAAAGCATGTTTCTTAATTATTATCAAGACAAATCAGCCACGTTGCTGAACAGGCTCAAAGTATGGTTGGACTGCTTGGACAACTGAATCACTACAAAAATAGACATGGATGTTAAAATCTAGTGATGCTGAAAAGCTGAAAGCAACTTGTGAACCTAACATGTCTCTTGATGAATGATGGTTCTCTCGGTCTCTCCTCTAATTCATGCACTAACCACCAGTGCTTGAAAATAGTTACATCAGAAAGTAACCAGATTCTTTTATTTTTTATTTTCCTGTTAAAATACTAGTTTCTAACTCTCTCAAATTATCTAACTATAGTAAAAGTGCATTAAAAAAAAAAAAAAAACTATATTAAAAGTGAAATTCTGGGGGTGGGGGGGGTGAATGAGGGCAGGAAAAAAATTATGTTGGCTGATTCTTCCAAAGTAATATAAAACATATGCCATGTTAATTTAAGAATAAAAATTTACAAGAAGTAATTTGCATACCTAGCACAGAGTCTGACACGTGTCACGTGTGACCGGTAGCCACCGCCCACAGGCAAATCGAACATGATCCTGTTTTTGCATGCATCTCAGCTCATAGGTGGGTAATTACTTGCCGACCATGCAGTAAAAAATTAGCAATCAACCTTGGCAATGAGTTTCATGTTCTCTAGCTCATAGGAACAACATTATGAGGGACCCAAAGCCCACTCTCCCGGTAGCAAAATGATTCACCAATGACAAATGAGACCCAACCAGGAAGTTGTAAACTTCTCCGTGTCCTTCTTCTTGTCTTCTTCTTCAAAGGTCAGAGCTAGAATCATGGATATTTTTTACCATATTAATTGTCTATTATGTAAAGCATCTTGCTCAGACAACTGTGACCTTTAAAGAAAGCATACTCCTTTCTGAATTCTCTGCAGCGAAAAACTGATCAGACATCAGCTTGAAGACCAAAAAGATGAAGGTAATCTCAATCTCAGTTATATTTGTAACGACATAATATATTTTCTGAGTGCTCAGTTTCTGTAATTCCTTCTATGTCTGGTGCAGTTACTAACTTGGATGCATCGCAAGTTTCGGCAAGGTAATGGCGAAACACTGAAGGAATTTCCCCTAGGTAAATATTCTTCTTCTGCTACACAATAATTTGATCTTCTGCCATATTTTTCTTTCTTCCATTCATTATTGTGCTTCCAGCGATTGATCATGTGCATTAATTCCTATCAACATAATCCTGAGGTGCTGTGTCCAAAAAAGTATAGCAGTCATCTTCTAGACAGATCAGAAACATTAGAAACTCTGGTTTATAAATGTAATATGTATATATGCAAATATTCTATATCACACATCCACAATCCAAACTACCCAAAAGGCCAAAAATACCCCTTGTGCCTAAAACCCCAAAATCAATAAGTCCAAGTCATTAAAATACTTAAATACCCCTTGGTGTGAACAAGCCTAGAGTTTTCTGACACTTTCATAACTTTTTCGAGATCATAGTTATTTGCTACATTCAAATCAAATCTATATACATGGAAATATATATATGATTAAGCATCAAGGTAGAACAAGTAATTTTGAGCATCTTTCAGGGCAGCAATTCCTGGATGACCCTCATTTCTATCAGAAGCAAAACCAAGGGAAACAAAGAAGAGCATCATTTACAAGTGTGGAGACAAGAAATTTTGCTGAATACGAAAGAAAATCATCGTCGGCTGATGAGTATCCTGAGTACTTCGAAGGATTTCTAGCAATCGGCACTTTTGGGGTAGCAGATGCAGTCATTCCAGAGCCAGAGACACCAACATTTGAGGTATCATTTGATAAGCTTGCAGAAGGAGAGGCTGAAGTGACAGAAAATGAATTGAGGCTCATCAATGATGAGTTAGAGAGGGTGCTTGCTTCTGAAGCAAAAGATGATGGTTGGACCGATTCTTCAGGGAGAAACAGTCATGTTAGCAATGGAAGAATCAGTCATGCAAGCACCATCACTCTGAGTGGGAAGCCACTGGAAATTCCAGAAAGCACAGGAGGCACAGGAAGTAATTTGATGTACTGTCCACTACAAGAATATCTGTTAGGCTCAGCAGTAGAAGTGCCAGAGAAGGCAACAGTGCCGAAAAAGGAGAATAGGACATCATTGGGAGAGCTATTTGAGAGGCACAAGGCAGAAGAAACCTCGGAAGTCAAGTGCAAACGCGGGGAGAAAAGGGAAGATAAAGAAGGAGATAAGACGGCTTCTATGAATCTCATGAAAAAGATACTGACGAAGAAGAAAAATGCACTGCATGCTGCTTCTAGGAACTCTTCTGCCTCAACTAGGGGACCTGCTGAATCTGGTTCGGCAGAGACAAAGCTGTGCAAGGTACTTGGCTTATTTAATGCACTCAACTAGTTGAGTTTCAATTTGGCCAAACAGAAAATGCATAAAGTTGATATAAAATATCTTCAACCAAAGATTAGAGTACCATACTACCACCTTAAGTATTTTGGATTCCCATTTTCGCAAAAATCATTTTATATTAATAATATCTTTTCTAAAAAAAAATACAGTCTTGTTTTGAGTCTTTTGACACTACTAGAATTATTCTTTATAATCCCTTTTTCCTTAAAGTTTGCCCATTTTGTCATCTGTTTGACTGTGTCAATCAGTATGTTATGCACTTGTGCAATACAGATTACAAAGCGGACAAACATGAGAGAATATTAGGAGAAATAAAGACACAAAAAAGGGAAGGAAGAAAACCAAGCTCCATAAGATAACCAAAGCCGTATATGGAAAATTGGCAACTCCTTCAACTGACCAATCATATAATTACTCCTTTTTATAAGAAGAATCATGACTTTAAAATTCAGAAGTTGCGAAAAAGCAGTTGCAAACTCACTTTAAATAAGTAAGAGATAAAATTGAAGCAGATAATAGAAATAATTGGTTCCTAAGAACAAAGGACATGAAATTTTGAACTCCTTTGCTTTGTTAAAGTTCTTTCCTTTCTAATTCTCATAGAGTTGACATATACCAGTCAATTAACTAATCAAACCTCAATTGTCCATTCAGGAAAAGTGAGATATTGTACAACAATAAAAACATGAACTTCTTAGGAAGTACTTGTATATGATTAACATGTTGAAAATCTAGACAAAGTATCTTCCATCTCTACCTAATAATTTCAATGCAGATCCTACAGAAATTTCACAAGAAAGTGCATCCCGAATGCTTAATATCCACAGAAAAGTCAAACAAAATGCATAAGAATGGGATCAAGGACATGATGCCCAGCAATGCAGGCTACTTCAAGGATGAGCACACATTTCCAGATGAGAGCAACACAGCTTTCTCCCAGAAAGCAGGTCAAAATGGCTACATGCTAAGCAGGAAGAGCATCTCTAACCCAACTCAATACACAGATGATGGTAGTGATTCAAATGGGAGCAGGGAGTGCTGGATCAAAACTGATGCAGATTGTAAGTATCTCTCATGACATATCACATTCTCTTCATAGTTCCTTGGTGGTAGGTTTTTCTTTGCGACTACAGCTCAAATACTAGAGTCAACCTATGTAGTCTTGACGCTGTAGTTCACCTCAAGTACCAAGTCAGATACGCAGTACTTGACACTTGAACATGGGTTTGAGTTCATATCACTTCATATACCAATTGAATACAAAATGTTGAGAAAATGATCAAGTCTAATACAGGTTCATGTATCAGAGTCCAGCAATAATAGGCATAGTCAAATCTAAGTAATGTGCATTGAAATGAAGAATTTCCACCCCTAATGCGTGGTGTATAACTGTTAAAATTGGCTCTTGCATCATTCTAACACAATGAGATGTGTGTATTACAGACCTTGTTTTGGAGCTCTAAAAGGAGAAGCACGGATGCAGCTATGCCAATTCCATCATGAAGAACTACAACACATCTTATGCTATGTTAATGAGATGAATATCCCTAGTATATTTGACGAGTATGTTGAGTGGTTGAGTTTGAAGCTAGATAAAAAATAATAATAGAAAATCTGGTGTGAAACTCTGTATCATCTATCATCAGTCAATATAATATTGCGGTTTGTATTACTTCCTAGCAATTTGTGTTTTACATTATGGTTGTAATTATAGCAAACAATCTTCATTTACAGCAATAAAATTGTCATTCTACACATAAAAAGTCTTTTAAACTATAGGAGGGAGGCTTTTAGAATCAAGAAAGGATTATAGACATATTTTGGATAGTGGATTCTTATTTCCAATCTTAGTTTTAAAAAGTGCACGTAAGGTGCGCCTAGGTGCAAGGCACCGTGAGGCTCGAGAGTTGGCGCCTTAGCTCTTTGAGGCTCAAAGACCTACAAAAGGTGCACACCTTAGCGCTTTTTCTAGGCTGCTTCTTGCGCCTTATTTTGCAATTTATGTTTTAAAGCATCAATAGCTATTATGTAAGTTTATTTTTCCTAAAGTATACCATAAGACTTTGTTATGGGCAGGTTTTCTTCAATTCTAGTGGAGAGAGAAATCCCATATCTTATAATTCGATTTGGAGAGCTACAAGGATCCCACAAGATTGGAGGAAGAGCACCTTGGTCCCGATTTATAAAACAATGGAGACGCTCAAGATTGTTCTAAATATCGAGGGATCAAGCTTATGAGCCACAATATGAAGTTGTGGGAAAGAGTGATTGAATATATGTTAAGGGCATGCACAAGCACTTCGGATAATCAATTTAGTTTTATGCCCGGGAGATCTACTATGGAAGCAATCCATTTGATAAGACGGATGATGGAGTTTTATAGGGTAAAGAAAAAGGATCTGCATATGGTCTTTATTGATTTAGAGTAGGCATATGACAAGGTGCTAAGAGAGGTGCTTTGGTGGGCTTGAAGAAAGGTATCCCACGAAGGTACGTGGACTTGGTTAAGGATATGTATCGCGATGGGTCAATAAATGTGAGGACATGTGGAGAGTTGCCAAAAGATTTTCCTATTACATTTGGATCGCATCAAGGGTGTGCATTAAGCCCTTTCTTTTTTGCAATGGTTGTAGATGAAGTAACTAGACCAATTCAAGATGATGAAGTCTTGTGGTGTATGCTGTTTGCGGATGATATTGCTTTGGAGGATGAAACTAAAGATGGGGTTAATGCCAAGTTGGAGAAATGGAGGCAAAGATTGGAATCTAGAGGGTTTAAGCTAAGTGGGAGTAAAACTGAATATTTGGTATGCCACTTTGGTAGTCAGAGAGGGACAAGCAATGAGGTGATGAGTTTGGATGGAAAGGACTTGATCATGAGTGAGTGGTTTAAATTTCTTGGGTCAATCATCCAGTAAATGGTGACAGTCATCAAGATGTGGCCCACATAATTAAGTCGAGGTGGCTTAAGTGGAGAGTAGCCACAAGAGTGTTATGTGACCGAAGCATTCCCTTACAGTTGAAGAGAAAATTCTACAGGATTGCCATAAGACCAATGTTGCTCTATGGCATAGAATATTGGGCCTCTAAGAAGGAACACGTTTAAAAAGATGGAGGTTACGAAAATGTGAATGTTAAAGTGGATGTGTGCGAACACTCTAAGAAATAGAATCGGAAACGAGGTTATTCGCAAGAAGGTAGGTGTGGCAGACATTGTAGACAAACTAAGGGAAAATCGTCTCCGTTGGTTTGGGCATGTAAAACGAAGACCCGATGGTACACCGGTACAAAAGTGGAATGGTGGGATCATGGAGGGGTTAAACGAGAGAGAGGGATACCGAAAATAACTTGGTTGAAAGGAATCAGGAACGATATAAAGTTTTAGGATTTGCATGAGAATGAGGCATTGGATCGTAAGGAATGGAGGAGAAGGATCTTTGTTGATGATTACACCAAATAATCAAATTTGGTTCATGTAGTTGACCCCACTTATGGGATTAAGGCTTTAATTGATTGATTGATCACATGGCCCTTTCACCTTTTCTCATAATTTCATTTTTACACTTAATTAATAGAAATTATTATTTCTTTTCTAAATGAATAAAGTGCGCCTAACCTACAAAAGGTGAGCGCCTTTGCCTTGCCCCTAGGCTCCAAGGACTTTTTGCGCCTTGCGCCCTTTAAAACTAAGTGTCTAATAGTCAAATACCAGATATGCAGGGATGGCTCTTAATCCACTTTCCAAGATTATCATTCTATACATAAAAAGTCTGGACGATCTGGTAGTCAAACAATCACTTAAAAGCAGGGAAGGAGACTAGGAGTAAGACACTCATTCCTTTTACCTTTCTCTTTTCCTCAATCGTCTACCCTAATTTGAAAAGGGGAAAAAAAATTAACAACAAAAAAAAAAAAACTTGTAAGCCACTTCAAATTTTCGAAAATTCCATGAATCCATACTGATTCCGATTGCTCGTTATCTTTAATACATAAAACACCACACCACCAATACATGAAAGCAATAATCACCCTATAAAGGCTCTAAATCACCATGCTTCAACTCGCTCCATAGTCCATATACTCCGGAGGTCATTAGTGAAGTCATCATTTTAGATATAATTATTACTAAGTACTATTGCTCAAAATCATCAAATATGAGCCTCAAAATCCCATTAAACTGAAAATAGAACACTTTTTAGGGCAAAATAATGAGGAATTCTATAAAAGTAATCGATCTCAAGCTAATCAAATATTGTGATTATAAAATTCTTGCACAAAAAAATTAATACAATACTGCAATATATTGATTAATGTTCTAAATAATGTTTGCAAGCTCAATAAATCCAGAATAACAATCACAAAATTGATTCATAGCAATAAATTACACAAATCACAAAATTAAATTTCTAGGGCAAAATTAATCAACGTAAATCAATGAAGTGTTGATATTAGTATCTTACCATTTATCAATCTCTTCTGAAATTTGGAAAACTTCAATGCTTTGATGGAGTTACAGTTAAAGTAATCTCCGTCTCTTTCTCTCTCCTCGTTTGATCGGGAAAGTTGCAGTTCTATGAATTGAAAATTTGCGCCATTTAATTGAGGTAGGAAGAATTCGATAATCCTCCAAAGTGTTTTCAAATAATTACATTTCTGGCGGGAAGAATTGTTTACGCTTCTAAGCGTGAGCATTTGAAAGTTTAAGTTTTTTTAAAAAAAATAGATTTGAAAGTTTGATTTGAGAATTTGAGATTGAAGAAGTTTCACTTTGCAAAATGTACTAAAAATCAGAACTTGAGTTTGCTCAATCTAGATTCTAGAGTCGATAATCTTGTAGGGATAATTTACACTTAGGTTCACAGGTTCACAAAGTGGGTATCATACACTCGGGTAATTTATTAATGTACAAGTCATAAGTAAATAACACATAAGTGACTTATTTTATAAGGTGTATGCAAATTGTAGCAAATAAAGGCCAGACAAACATTGTGATAAGATCAAACTCAAGTCAAGCAGTAAACTTGATTACTCATATTGAGCGTGTGAAAGATGTTAATCTTTTGATCATACAAAATTGAAAAGATCTTATGGAGAGAATCCATTGAACTAGCTGATAATTAATTACCTAAATAGCTAGGGAATGTACGAGAAATGTATCTCAAAACTTTAATATTTTTACATTTGAATCACCCTCTTGCCTACATTGCTGATGTAATTTTGGAGGATAAGCCTTCCTAACCCTTTTTTTTTTTTTTTTACGAAATAAACCTCCCTAACTTTGTTACTCTAAAATTGACAATTTTCCAACTTGCACTTAAAAAATAAAAATAAAATAAAAAAAGATAACATAATTTTCATTATTAGGCTCAGTTTTTGAAATTTTAAATTATTTTTAAATAACCCGATAAGATGAAGCACGAGCTTTTCAAAAAAAACATGGAGTAAATTTGAAATACAACACACTTTTTTGCACCTTAGTTATCTCTCTAAACTAGAGATCACCAATTAAACGGAGTAACAAATTATTGTACATTTAATTTGAAATACATGGTAAACGGATTTTAATCAATATTTATATTTAAAAATTGTTCATTTGTAATAAAAATTATTCATTCAAATCACACAACTTTCTACAATCTAGAGTCTTCAAGCTTCATGCAACAATTATTTCAGCTTTGTGTAAAACATTGAAGATTCTCCAAGGGAATAATTGTTAACTATACAGTGTTAAAAGATCTTTATTGTGGTTGATAAAGAGTTAGTATGATAATCATTCCATCCTCTCCATGAAAGTCTTGAACCCTTGTCCTTCACAAAGTTCTTGAGTTCAAATCTATACGGCGATGGTGCACAAAGTTTATGGAAACTTCTTTGTATCCCAAAAACATTCAATCCACCCTTTCATACTATTCAAGGCGAAATAATTAAACTTAAAATCTGAATATCGAATGATGGCAACTGAAGCCTAACAAAGGACATATCAACAAGAGCTGTCCATGAAATTAACCAGCAATTCCTGTACCATTCCTCTGTCTGGCATTCTTCCAGCAGCACCATATATTGGAGCAAGTCCTCCACTAATTGGACCTGGGTTTTCTTTAACCTGAAAGCTCAACAGTCGTTATGTTAAATATATAATCACTAAGCTGACTAAGGTTGTCAAATACAGTTTATAAGAACTTACAGTTCGCACAGAGTCCTGCAGAACCTTTAAGAAGTCATCAGCCACCGATACATGCTGAAGGGTTAAACAGATATGCAGGCTGGTACATGTGAATGATTTGAGAAGAAAAGGTTGGTTTATTAAATTGTAACCACATCTCTGTATAATTAAGCTATTGTGAATCTATATTGTGCCTCATGATGCAACTAGGATTAATCCCAATATCCCCCTCTGACATTTTTGCTGATATTTTGGGTATCTTGAGGGGGATATTGGGATTTTCCTGACTAGGTGATTATTTTGGAATAAAAATAACCATTATATTATCCAATTCCGGAGAGTGGACAAGATAACTCTTAAAAGACCTACCTGTTGGGTCTCTGCAGGGCATTTAAATGCCAACCTTTAGATGACATTTGGTCGTTAACTTCAAATATATCAACGACATTGGACGCAAATGCCACTATAGTCATGTCAGGCCTTCCAACAACATATAACTCTGGAATACTCTTTATTCTGATGAGAGGAATTTCGAGTCAGTTAATGGTGCTGATATATAGCATAATACTGAAACCGGGAAGTTAATTAAAAGAGCACAAACCCTTCCTGAATCTTCTTTGATACATCCATTATCTGTCTTGTATTCTCCAAGTACCCTGTAATATACAAAGAAAATGGTATATTGCATTGTAAAGAAATCAGATTTCGGAAGAAATTGGGAGCTCAAAATAAGAAAGTAGTCTTGTTTACTTACCTTCCTCTCCCAAAGACATCATTGCTGCCCATGCACCAGCAATCAGACCCCCAGGTCTGCTCCCCGCAATTGTTGGAGATACATAAAGGCCACCAGACCACTCGGTTACTGCCATATCAACAAGCATGTGATCAGAAGTTCCAAATGATGTAAATCTTCCAAACATTTAACACAGATTAAGAACATTGACATAATTTAAAATATAGACTTACCAGCAACAAATTGATGCTGTTGGAGGTACGCCACAAGGTATGAAGGCATAAAATCACACATAGTTAGTATTCCTCCATTAAAAAAACACAAGAGAAAGCAAACTTTTTCTGTATTACACAGCTAGACAATTACCACCTTTGCAGTCTGTCAACACTCCAGACAGAACAATTTCTTTTTTTAAAATGAACTCTTCAGCTAAAATAATTTTTTTAATATAAAATTGTGTGGGAAACGACACTTTGAAATGGAAAGTTACTCAGATAAGAGAATAAATTCCACAATATCAGGAACAAAACATAATAGGTTCATTCAAATAAAATAGATACCTAAAATAACAAGGAAAAAAGGAAATCAGGATGACAACAGAAGCAGACAATCAATATTACCTTCCTGATTTCATGGTTACGGTAGAGTACTGTACTGGTTCCTTTGGGAGCTAAGCCATATTTGTGTACATCAATAGATATTGAGGTAACTCCTTGGACAGAGAAATCAAAAGGTGGAATTGGATAACTGAAACAGCATTAGACATTTGTAAATTTGTGAGCTGCCAAATATAACCATCGACAAACAAGTGATGCCTAATTGTCGCCAATGAGTTCCAGTAACTGCTTAAAGATGATCTAAAAGACAGAGATTACTAATTAACACCTTCAAATCAAATTGAACCGTATTAAATTCTATGCCAACCTTTCCACTAGTGACATTTATAGCAGTTATCAGTTAGTACACCTCATAAGCTCAAAACTAAAGGGCACAGTTGGACAGAGATCCAACCAGGTTTAGATTACGAAGAGAAGTATCAAATGCCAGAGCCTCTAGCATAAATAGCCAAGTAGTTCAACAAATGATAGAAAAAAGAAGATTTCAAATTAAAATAGACACTATAGAGGATAGGAAAGTAACAATCCATACCCAAGTTTACGTGCAAAAGGCAGAACAAATCCACCAAGACAAAGATCAACATGGAAACAGACCCCAAAGCTCATCGCTAATTTGCCAAGCTCCTACCAAAAGAAAATCTAAGATCAAGTATATGCCTACCTAAAGGCTTGAATTTTGAGGGTTTAAAAACAGCCTATATACTTACTTCGATGGGATCAATAATGCCATGTGGGAACCCAGGTGCAGATCCAACAATCTAGAAGGCAATGAAGTGAACTTGCAAGTTAGCAGACAAACAGCGTATTAAAATTTTCAGATGCAACTAAGTAACAGCAAGGCAACCAGCAGAGTTACAAATCTTCAGCAGAACTAGAATATTATAGTTGCTAAAGCCTAAAAGAAACAATTTATACAAATTGACCCTTACCAAGATGGTATTTTTATTGATGTAACGTCGAATTGCTTTCACATCTGCCTGATATTCATTGTTCACAGGAACACGCCAAAGTTTAATGTTGAAATATTGGGCAGCTTTATCATATGCTGAGTGGGCTGATACAGGGATAATCCTACACTTAGCAGAAAAGTAGGGAACTTTCTGTCAATATTTATTATTTATTATGAATGGCCTGGCAAATTCTGTTCAAATTAGAATTTAGAAGAAATGCCACAAACACATACATTTCTGGTTTTTTTATTCCCTTCTTAGTTCTCATATAGTCACGTGAAGATTTGACAGCCAATAGTATACTCTCAGTGCCTCCTGAAGTCATATTTCCACATATTTGTCCTCCAGAAGCCTTATCTTTACTGCCAAGCATTGCAGCTGTCATCGCAACTACTTCTGCCTCATAATGCACAACACTTTGAAAAACATCCAAATGCAATGGGTTGGTATGTGAAAACCTGGCAGAGAATGACAGTATTAGCACCAAAAGAACGCTTAATAGAACCCTAGACTGAAAATCTTTTGCAGCTTATGATAGAGGTAGGCAATTGTGTCACATTATGACTGATGTAAAGCTATCAGAAATTCAGAAGCATACCTCAATTCTAAAAGAAACTTCTAATTTGACACAGCAAAGCCTTTTTCCTATTACACAAGTAAGCATTACTAGGATCAAACAATAGAGTCTACTCACATAGATTCAATGTTAACAACTCTCAAGATTTTAGCTTACTAGATTTGATGTAATTTAACAGATGTTAAACATTTGGACACCATTCATGATACGGTTTTTCACCAATTACCCCTGAGTTTTAACTTAATTCACCAAATACCCACGAAATGTTTCAAATTCACGAAATGTTTTGCCAAACTTTGTGGTTTTTTCACCAAAATTTTCAAATTAAGTATTCCCTAAAGAAGACATTAAGGATTATATTCTTTAGGGAATACTTAATTTGCAAATCTAAAATGTCTGTTTCAAAGTCATAATGTTCAAAGAAAAATTTAAAACATTCTTGAAACTAATGAACACATACAAGAAAGTTCATCAGAAAGATTAACCCAATGGCTCTTTCTTTCTCTCTCCCCTGGCTCAGCTCCACAAACAATGGCTGGCAATTAATCTCAAAGATGAAAAAATGGAGAAGACCAACAAATGAAACCATTAAATGTGTAGAGGAACAAATCAACAAGGACAACACTCAAATTTGAAGATGAACCAAAATAACTCTTAGAAGTGCAATACACGGGTGTTTCCATGAGAATAATAAGATAAATTAAATAGTTTCAGCTCACTACTTACATTGAGCATGCCTCATTTATCAAGGAAAAATGATCATCAGCCTCTGTTCCTCCAATGTATCTGCAAAAAATATCATTAGAAGTTCATTAGGGTGTAAGATTAATACCATTACAGTCTATATTGGACAAGTAAAAAATAATAAATCCACCCCAACTCCATGATATCAAAACCATTAGTTTTGTTAAAACTTTATCTCCTCTTTCTATTACTAAAATTATATGTGCATCACAAATTAAAGATACAAACATACACTGTACCCGAACATTTGCCTTGCCAAGCAGCATCCTTTCGCTTTTCCTCTTTCATCATTTCAATCACTCTACTTCCAAAGCCAGTAGCTGGTAATTCAGTTCTCCAATTATCTCTTTTAGATTTATTACCTGCTTGCATCTTATCTACAACCTGAGAGCAAAGAAAAGGAACAATTAAACTCCCTAAAAAATGTGATCACCGGTTTATTTAGCATGCTTTCAAGGGCACACATTAGACACAAACTAATGATCATAAAAAAGTAGAGCATATAAAAGAAAAGGCACAGCATATAAATTGACCACAAAGGTTTGTTACAAATTACAGAATCTCAGTGTGATAAAATCTGATATTACTAAGACTCTAAGAGTACTGGCAGGAAATCTAAGGTTATAATGTCCTGATGTTGATTCACTGAGCTCAAAGCTTCAATATTCCATATCTACCATAGAATAAATTGTTAAAGTAGTAAACACCTTAATTATAAAAATTTGTCAGCAATAAGAACTACAGAACAATTTTCAGCTGAGAGAGCAGAACGACACAGAATTCAAGCAGGAAAATAGCATCAAGGGTATGGATTAATTCTATCTCTAATTTACATCATATGATCATATCAATACCTATACCCCCATATCCAACCCTCTGATTGAAGAAGCCATGATTAGCTAGAGGGTTGTGTTGAATATGTATCAATTGAGCATCTAGTAGAAAGCTTACTGGGACAAATTAGACAATCCAAAGCACCCAGTTCAAACCTCAAAATATCTAGATATGATATGACACTAGTGTGACAGTTCTTAAATTTACATCTTGTAAATGCTGCAATAGCCCTGAATCAATTCAGCGGGAATCAGTGATTATACCCAAGTATACACGCTGCAAAAGCATTCTTTGACATTACTTTCTCTTGGAAAACATTTACAAATTTAATAGAAATATAATGTCTTACAGTTCAAATTATAAAAATATTATAAACATTTTAGTGATATACTTTGAAAAATGATCAACAGTTAACATTTGATCATGAAAAAAATCAATTCATAACCAATTAACCATCATCTTTAACAACGTTAGATTAAGCTAATACTCTTTTTGGTCCACATTTAACCATGTCATAAACTGGATTAAGTTGCTAATAGCGGCAGAGATTATATGGATGAGGAGAGAAGAAAATCTGCAGAGAAGTAAGAAGATGAAAAAGAAGATGGGGAAAAGTTGAAGATGATTGTATTGATCATAAACTTAGTGCAACAACTTCCCATCTGAGAGGCTGGGTTTCCCCAACACTAACAGAATTGCAATCACACTTTTAGGATAAATCTATTTATTACATTCCTCTGACCGAATCCGGACACCATGGCACATGCCATAGGCTTAACAGCTTAATTATTGTAGTCAAAAGACTAAATAGGTTGCTAAAAGGTGAAATTACCCTTGCTAGCGTGTTTTGCATACAGGGACCTTAAAGGAGGTTTTGGTGAATGTGTCACAAACCATTTCAAGTCTCTTTTAGGCTCTGGTGAACTTATTACTTTCACCAGAAATAATCTTACTAGCCTGGTGTTGATTGTGAAACTTAAAACAAACTTTAATTTATACCAGGAAATTAAACTGACCTAGGTCTGGAAAATTATAGACAAGGACATTTTATTTCAAATGAGGATATCAAAGCCTTGATTTGGCCCAAAACTAGTGTCCTCTAAGAACAATAGATGTGATTCCCACAAAATTTGACCACTAAATGCAAGATAAAACTAATTAGGGTGCATTATATTCACCTAATTTTTACTAAACAGAAATCATATCTAAACTTCTGAACTTATTAGAACTTATTTAAGTTGAAAATTGAACTTAAGAAACCCTTATTAACTCTATCTGAATTAATTTTCTTAAATTCATCTTATATGAATTTATAAACCTTTATGTGAACTAATTTGCATTTTTTCCCCCTGAATTAGAGGCAATAAGGTGAACAGCAGGGCCTTTAGTAAGACTATTATGTGACGAAAATTGACCTATACAACCTTTATCACCAAATATAGCATACATTAACTTCAAAGTTTATTATGTTCTCAAACACTATTCAAGTACTATTGACAATTAATTACTCCACAAGCTTATACTACCTCCGTTAACTATTATTTGCAACAAAGGGGTATTATTTGTGAGATATAAAATATTCCTTTGTTGCAAATAATAGTTGACGGAGGTAGTACAATTTTTAATAAGAATTCTTCTTACATTAAAAGATTGTGTACTTCTCACCTTTTTTACTTATTTATGGAAAAATAGCTTGAAATAAGTTAAGTTTGTGGCAAGTCCAGATAAGTCTAAGGCTAATAAAACTTCAATGCTGATATGGGATACTCAATTTCAATTCACAACTACAATAAAGTTCAAATAGTAGAATCTTAACTAGAAGTAATGCAGATTAGATGGGCTGGTTGTTTAGCAAATGATAAGGTAGACTTTTTGCTTCTAACAGCTAATTTCACTTATTACCAACCAATCTAAACTTAGTTGGAGCAACTTTTATAGCCAATGGTTTTTCTCATATATTAAAGCACTGTACTGCGCAAATACCAAATGCTGACTACAGTTTTGTTTTCTCAACTTATACATGTAACTTAACTATGTATTGCCAAACTCTTGCTTAACTAGACTCATTTTGGCTGAACTTTACTTATTTTGTTGAAAAGAAAGCTCATTTTGGCTGAAACATATTTAAATAAGCTGTGAGAACATAGCCTAAACACTTAATACAAACCGTTAATGCAACCACTTACGGTAGATATTGGCTAGTAAACCAGCCATCGGCCAACAGTTGATAGCCAAACAATACCGATATACTTCATTTTATTTTTTTTCACTTCACAAGGTCCAATGTGGATGGAGACTTGGAGAGACAACTACTCCATAAGTCCATAACAATACAACTCATGTCATACAGTCATAGTACTAACAAAATCAGTGGCACCAATACTAGCAATAATGCAATAAATTCCATTGACATAAATGCAAACTAAAATTCAGTCATATTTACATTATATAGACACATAAATACATAATAATAATATTCTACTAATATATTCATTCTTATGGGGCCTGGTACATCTATATTCTTACTTCCCAACATCATCATAGTACAAGCAAAATCAATGATAAATTATCATCATAGTACAAACTTTTCATCATAATTTATCAAAAATACACAAATTAAAACATGGGTACCTTCTGTTTTTCAGCATCCACGTAGCTCTTAACACCAGGAACCAACCTACAGAATTCAGATTACAAAACGAAGGTAAATAATTCATAATAAAAATCATAAATAAATGAATAAATAAATAATACCCAGATTTCAAAATCGAAAAATTACTTGATCAAATACATGAAGGAAGCAATAAGACAAGATTTGAGCCCATTTTCATGAACAGTAGAAATAAGAGATTGAAGAAATCCAGCAATTAAGAGAGATAAAATTGGAGCAATAACTAAAGTAAGAGGCTCGAATTGAGACAAGAAAGTGTTGGCAGATTCTCGGAATTGGGTTAGGAGAGAGAAAATCGCCATTTGAGATTAGCAAAGCTTCTCAGAATTGTTGAAGACGACGACTAACTTTCTCTTTGTCTTCTTCCCCTTAAATAATTACTTGAATTAATTTTAATTTTCTATTATAAGGAGTATCATTTTCAATTGATTGTTAAATACGTAATTGGATTTAATTTTCATGTTTTGTTGTTTGTCGTTGATCTGATTGGTAGCGTAGACGTAAGTGTTAATGTGTTTGTGTGTTAAGTGTGTTACTCGTGATGGCCGGCAAATTGCGTGGTGAGCCAGTTAACTGAAGATTGATAATTGTACTAGTATTACTGTAATACATATGAAAAATGGAATAATTTGCATAGGCCCACTTAATAATAAATCAAACCTAATAGTATTGATCCATTGGAAAGAGTCTTGTTTTGATTTACAATAAAGCCCGATTCAATCTGTCTTCTGAAACTATTTTTTTTTAATAGCAAAAATACTTTATGTAAAAGTTTTGTGTAGGACGGACTCACGTGAGTCCGGTCATACAAACAGAAAAAAAAAAAATCTTAATAATCAGAAATTAGATAATAGTAGTAAGATATTAGATTATAATGGTCAAATATTAGATTATAAATATCAGATATTATATTATAACTGTCAGAAAATAGGTTAAATATATCAGAAAATAAGTTAATTATAAAAAAAAAAAAATAGGTTAAATATATCAGAAATCTATTAACTATTACTAAAACAAAACTTTGTTAATGTCATCACTGTTCATATGTCACTCTCATAATAAAAAATTTCCTGCCTAAATGCATGATGATGTCATCATTTTTTTTTTATATTTAATAGATTTTGAAATTTGAATAACAAAAGCTTCTATATTACAAATACAACCTATCAATTTATCCTTAAAAAATAAAATAATTTTAAGTTTTACACTGATAAATAAACTCCTACATTAAAATATGTATTAGGCAAAGTTGAACAGGTATTATATCATAATTTTGATAAAAATCTAAAATTTTCAAAATACATATATTTTGTACAAGATGCATATTCTTATTTATATTTATCCATTATTTTTTAAAAAAATGTACAAATTATATAAAAAAACGGAAATTTCACCATATACCACTGAGTTTAAGCATAATTCACCGTATACCACCAAAAACTTTCTAATACACCATATACCACTCAGTTATTGTATATTAACACAGAATGCCCTTTTTGTTCACTGTCGTTAGTCTGCCGTTAACGCCGTTAGTAATTAAGGTTAATTATGCCACGTGGCTGTCACATATTGGCTCTTATTAATATTATCTAATTAATTAGTTAAATAAAGAATTTAAAAAAAAAACAGCCACCACCTCCTCACTCCACCAACCCCGACACCCCCTTCCCCCACCAGCCCAGCTCCCCCTCCCTGCCGGCGGCCTTGCCCAGCCTCCTCCCTCGCCGGCGGCCTTGCCCAGCCTCCTCCCTCGCCGGCGGCCTTGCCTAGCCTCCTCCCTCGCCGGCCTTCCAGAGCTCCCCCTACCCCTGCCATCTCCCCTTCCCGTCCTCCTCCCAAACCACCAACGTCTCCCAGCCAACCACCACCCTATCCTAACATCCCCTGCTTGCACGAAATATGACTAGAACCCCCAGCCACCACCCTATCCCGCCCCCACCCACGCCGGCGCCCAGCCTTTCTCTCGCCAGCGCGTCGGCCTCCCTCTCCCCCTGAACCGACAACACTCAAAATCTGCAACCATACAACAACATCAATTCGACTTATCAGCATTTTTTTCGAACAAATTCGCTTCTAATTCGACCTTCTCTCTCTTCGTCAAGATTTGATGGGTGGTTTCTTTGCCGTCGATATTCCAATTGGGATTTGCAAGAGGGAAATTGAGGATTTTTTTAGGGTTAGAGAGATCGGGAATCGGGGAAGGGGAGTCCGACGAGGAAATCGGGAATTGGGTTACAAGTGGGGGATGATTTTCGGGGAAGGGGAGTAGGAGTGGGATGGTCGCCGGTGTAGGGGGAAGGGGTCGAGAATGTCGCCGGCGGGGGGAAGGGGCCAGGGGAGGGCAGTCGCCGGCCATCTGGGAAGTGGCTGGGATCGCAATTGTTGCCGCCAGGGGGATCGATGAAAGTTTGAAGCTTTTTGATTGATTTTGGGGTTCGATTTTAATGGAGAAGAACAGAGAGAAGCTTCAATGGAAAGGGGGAAATGGGGGGTCAATGGAGTCAACCCTATCAATGGCGCCAGTTAGATGTATAAGGGCATAATGGTAAAGTCCCCCAAACGGCAGACTAACGGCAGTTAGCAAAAAGGGCATTTTGTGTTAATATACAATAACTGAGTGGTATATGGTGTATTAGAAAGTTTTTGGTGGTACGGTGAATTATGCTTAAACTCAGTGGTATATGGTGAAATTTCGGTAAAAAAAATTATATAAAACGTGCATCGCACGGGTTCTAGATTATAATGGTCAGGTATTAAAACCCCTTCATTCTTCCTCTCTTTCTCTCTCCTCAACAACCCACAATCTCTCTCCTCTTTTTTTGCAACTCATATTTTATCTCTCCACCATAAAAATGGCAAGACCACAATTTGCACCACCAAGTCACCAACAACGCTGGCCTTCTCGATTTTTGGATGGTCCTCCGGTGGAACACAACCGTAGTCTTGGGAATTACCTTGGCGGCGGCGGCTTCGCTGGTACTCATTGTGGGTTCGAAAGCCCTCCTCGACAATTACCCCCTGTTTGGCGATAACGCAAGTTTTCATCATCCTCCCGTTGGTGAGCCTCCTGGAGGGTTCTGGTTTTGATTAGAGAATGAGGTAAGGATCCGAATGAGGAGGAGAGAGAAAATGTGAAAAAATGGTGATGAATGAAGGATTGTAAAAATGGAGTAGAGAGAAAATGGAGGTGGTGTGTTTGAAGGTTATAAACGGAACTCACGTGAGTCCGTTCTACGCAAAACCTTCTCATATTTAATTAATTAAAAGTCGTACGATATTTATAATAGAGATACGACGTTAACAAATACATGAGATATTGAAGCAAATAAAATTTTTCTGAAACTTTATTAATGAATTGAGATTATTGTTATTGAATAAAAATTAATTTTGCTAAATTGAAATTATTTTATATTGAATTATAATGATTTTTACTATTTCCTCAAAAAAAAATTTATGAACTAAAATTAATTTTACTGAATATTATATTTTAAAATGAAGTGAACAAGGCCTAACACTGTGTACATTTAAAATTCTTCAATATACTTCTTCATACTTAATTATGATTAGGCTCACTAAATATTTTTATTAACAAATATTATTTTAGTAATTATGTTGAGAAAACTATATGGGTATAGACCGATGCACCTAGACAACAATCAATATTGGTATACCTCCATACTAGATTACGAGGTAAAGGGATCGGGAATTTACTTTTAATAGTTTGATTTTGGAGTCATATATATACAATAATATCGATGGATAATGTGACACCTAAATCATAATATGACTTCGAATAATATTTGTGTCCGCATGAACTATAATAATATTCAAGTTGATATCAAACTCAAATGCCATTTCATTATGTTTAGAATTGTATCTCTATAGTATCATCTTGTATTATGTTTAGTCTAACTAACAACTACTATAGACTCAATAGTCTCTATCTTAGTACCTCCAATAATTTTCCAAAATGTATTTTCTTGACTATTGTAACATAAAATTAATATTACTCGACTCCCAGACAGACAATTCAAATTCAACCGCCATATATTTATGGTAGTTTCAAAGGGCTTTATTTTGGGTCTATATTACCGACAGTGTCCGATTATTCCTTCTTTCCACTATAGTGACATAAGAGCACCGCTCAACAAAGACCAATAATTGTGTCAAACAAAAAAAAAAAAAAAAAAAAAACAACAATATGTCATCTCAATATAGAATATCATAAGAACGTTTTGAATAAAGTATGAAAATGATAATTATTTATATAAGAAGTCGAAATCGAATAGACCACTACCTTACCCTTTAATTTATTTCTTAAGTTGTTCATATTGTGAATTTGTGATCTTAAATTTTCTCGTGCTTACAATAAAGGACAATATGCCAACGGTGCATTAACATGACTTTTAAACAAATTCAAACATGGAGACTATACAACAATTTTAACGTTTTCATCTTGTGGCAGATCTAGCTTGGAGCATTAAAAAAAAAAAAAAAAAAAAAAGGAGAAATTGACGCCAACAGTCCTATTTATGGTCGGTCATCTTTAAAAGGTCTCAACTATCGATTAATTTAGAGCGATAATAACTTTTAATTGATTTGACGAGCTAATAGTGTCATTTGCCTTGTTTTCAATAAACTGAATCGAACTCCTGTCATTTGGGGAAGAGATGGAAGGACAACTCATTGATCCCTTTTGAATATCGATGCTATAATAATGTGATAATTTAGACTTGTTTAGTCATATCTAGCTTGTCCATAATCGAATTTCATTTTTATCCTTTAATTTATAATTAGGAACATGTTATGTATAGTTATTAAGCTATAATAAGAAACTAAAAAATGAAAAGAACAAATAAAAATAAAAAAAATAATAATTATGTTGATTTGTGCGTGATTTTATCATGCACCATAAATTAATACCAAATTGAAAAATAAATTAAATGTTTATTTTTAGCCCTTAAGGCTACATATAACATTACGCCTACGACTAATAATCCACCATCCAGACCAAAGCAAATGAGCTCACTCGATTCGCGTTGGTGCATGCATGTAATCCGATGCAAGCATGCAACACCACCACACAATTGCAATACTTATAGCTTGTTCTTGTCAAAAAAAAAAAAAATTAAAAAATAAATAAATAAATACCATGCATACTTTGTTGAGTAAAACATGCAAAAGCTAGTAAAATACAAAACATGAGTTTGTGATTATCAATAATGTATTTCGAGTACTGGGTCCTTATATGACTAAATGACTAGTCGGCCGTGCAAGATGAGCAGCATTATTAATTGGTTCATTTTTTTTTTTCAACGTCCTCTAGCTACACTGCCGCAGCCACAGAAATTACTGATTGGGTTAAGCAGATGGAAAAGTGGTAAGCTAACTAAGATTTCCAAAAATTCAAAGAATTTAATATACATGTAGTAGTGTAATTATACCTTGACATTTACATTAGAATTGTCAATTTCAAAAAAAAAAAAAAAAAAACCGAATATTAGAATTGTCAATTC